GTTCGTAAGTCGAGGCACCACTGTATCAGGAATGTCCAATTTTAGCCAAATCAAAGCCAAAACTATAGTTTTACCTGGTGGATACTTTCTTCAGCATGCAGTACTACTTGACTGGTGTCAAGAGTCCATGATGTTTAAGAACCCGCATTGTTTGCCTCCTACCTGTACTTGAACCGAAGCTTCTGGACTATCTCCTTCATTTTGTCCACCTGTTCTTGGTTAGCTGGGACCTTTTCTGTGAAGTCAATTTTCCGTTTATCATCAGCATATGGCAGGAAAATCAGATGAAACCCTAAGTAAAGATGGGCATGGGTAAGAAGCTATTAGAGAGTAAAAATGGAAATATTCTGTCAATGCAATCCGCAAACACTTATCATTCTGATGAATAATTTACAAATTCTTATTACTAAGAATTGTTATCAAAATAAACACAGGAATGCTCCATTAGAAATCTGCTAAACATTTTATTAATAAACTACATCTGGCTCACCTGCAATGCCCAAGAAAGTTCCTTACTGACTTTAGAGAGAGAATGAAGGCATTAACAGAACTAAATCAGAGTTATTGGTAAGATTCAATATTAGTATTAGAAGTGAGCCAGATCTTTAAATATCTTAAGCAACAAGCCAAGAATGTTTTCACAAAGACAGATATCTATGTGATAAAAAGCAGAATAAAAACTAGAAGCACAGATGACTCCATAATTTCATCTCAGGCTAATTAGCTATATGTATGGGTCTGTATGTGGGCATGTACATGTATGTACACACTTCCAATTCATGGTGCACCTATGAATTAGTGGCTTTGAAAAATTTATATCATTGAAAGTTCTATCCCATATCTTTGAAACTCAAGGCTTATATCTTCCTATATTAAGTTGATTCATCTTATGTTTAGTTTTTCTCTTTTCCTACTACTGAAATCTAGTACTTTGAAGTCTGAATTTCTCTGGAATTTTCATTATTTTACTATTATTTGCTTTTCATATACTTGCTATATGTTGACTCAATTTAAAATAACTTAAATGCACTATAAGATATGAAACAAAGGCTGAACAGAAGTTTTACTGGAATACACACATCTATCCGAAATGCAGACTGAAATATGCAAACTTTTGTATGATTTGGCTTCAGAGAAGTATGAATGAAGTTACACTCACACAACAAGAGTTTTTTCCTCCACTGCCTCTCCATTAAACATCCCTATTGTTTTAGGTCAGAGTATCATTCACAAGCTTTATGCAAGAACTAGCTCTCTGTGTCTGCCAGAACTGCCCTAAGATGACCGGTGTTGCAAAATTGTTGTACAGCTGATACATGACATAATAAATCACACATTTAGAAGGGAGGAAAAATAATCTTGTGTGCTATTGATTACATAAGTGTAAGAGACAGGATGCTCTTAATGAATTTATAAGTAACAGGCAGTCTATATAAATCAATCAAAACTGAATATAATACCAAATCACAAATAAAAACTTTATTATAAGGGATAGAAAAGAAAATATTTCTGTATCCACTCCATGATGCCCATACATAACCTCCGCTATTTACATTAGACAGGAGAAAAACATCTAGCTGACAAGAAGCAGAGAAAACCACATAGCCAACAATGAGACAAAAATGGCAACAGGGGCAATTACCTGCAGGAGCAATCTGCACATTCTGTTCATCTAGCTGTTCTTCCTGAGGGACCAGAGCTACAAACCTGGGAGGGGTGTTCTGACGAGGGATGTACTTGCATATGGCCATCACTCCTTTCTCCAAACACTTTGTTAGTAAAGCACTGAAAAGTGTGGTGCTTCCTATAAACAAAATTCCACTGTTGTCAGATTACTTGCTTCTAATACCCATAGGATATCATTACAACTACTACAGCAAGCTTTTGCAATCAAGTATATATTGGTTATACTGTATATCTACAGTTACCAAGGATTTGGAAGATTCTGTTTTTAATTGTGCTTCTTCCTCATAAAGTAGTAACTATTAATAACCAGCAATAGTCTTTGTACATTACTTTCAAGCATTTTGAGATATTAGCATGCTACTCCTTCCACCATTCTTATAAGGTAGACAATTTTACTTATTTCAAATACGTAAGTAAATGTTTATATGTGCATCTCAAATTGTACTCCTTCCACCATTCTTATAAGGCAGACAATTTTACTTATTTCAAGTAAATGTTTATATGTGCATCTCAAATTTATGTACTATATATGTATATCATGTATAAAAACATAAATGCTGTAAAAATAAAAATAAGAACATATACGGGTATTAATCACCACAATTATATAATAATAGCAAGCTCGGGTAATTGAATGCTGGTGTTTGGAAGACGATGATTTTTATATATTCAGGGGACTACTTAGGTATGGTGAAATATATTAAGTTGTAATTCTTTTAAATAGTTTTATCCAAAACTGTGCACTTTCAGGATATAGGTATATGTTGAGATATCTACTAGAAAATTGAACTGGCAAGTGACAGAACTAAAGGCAAAGGGATTTAAGACACTTTGTGAATTAAGGAATAGACCTAATCTGAACTCTGTTCCAAACACACAGTAAGTATGGGTCCAAAAACCCAATACCACCCAAAAATTCTAGCAATACCATTCTACCCATTTTAAATCTAAAATCTTGCAATTATTCCACTGTTTAGGGGTATATCTGTTGTTCTTGTTGTTTAGTCATTTAGTCTTATTGTTTAGTCATGTATGACTCTTCATGACCCCATGGACCAGAGCATACCAGGCCCTCCTGTCTTCCACTGCCTCCCCAAGTTTGGTCAAATGTATGTTGGTAGCTTCGATGACACTGTCCAACCATTTTGTCCTTCCCTTCTCCTCTAGAGACAGATGGAAGACCATAACTCCCACATAGGCTTACCATTAATCAAAGACTCATCAGGATAGATGAACTGGGCTGGCCTGATGTGATGATGGCGTTTGAGCATTACCAAGGGTTTGAAGCCAATCAGATATAAACCTGGAGAATCAAATCTCTTCACTTCTTCTGTCTCCTCTTTCTCCAGCACAATCTGACGGTTCCCATAGACCTGAAAAATGGGTGGGAAGGACAGTAGTTACAATAAGTACATCAATGACAGCCACAGTTGTAACAAAAGAAAAATACAGGACAAGTGCTAATGGAACCACAGCACTGCCTGCAAGAACTAGCATGCCAGATGTTTTCATTGCAAAAAGTCAGGAGCTTCAACGAACTACAGTACCACCAGCCTCTGTTTATACTTCTTTTATCATGAGCAATCTCCCATCCAGTATCTGTTAATTAAATCTACCCACCATTAATAAACTCTGAACATCTTGCTAATTAATCACTAAGCTGCTGTAGTGAGACAATTACCTTCACCAGCACTATGATGGGCAAAATTTACTGTATAAAACTAAATACAGCTCTAAAAAAATACAATCACTGACTTATTGCCAACACCCAGAATCCCATATTGTGCATGTACTTAAGAACAACTGACAACACAGGTGAGGAAACAAAAATTGTAAATTCAGCAAATAACTGAGCTAGTTGCAAAAGTATTTCCTCTGACTCACAACAGCAATATGAGTAGCAAAGCAAAATGTCTTGATAAATAGGCTTGACCCATACAGCCTTGATCTGCAGAAAAATTACTAATTTCCAGCAAATGCCATCCTTTTCCATGCTTATTGTGCTGTAGCTGCCATACTTGCTACTTTGATTCACACCAGAACAGGTGAAGAAGGCAGCAGCCAAAATGTTGTCTTTAACAATTTACTGTATAACAGGTAGATGCTGCAGGTGCTTCTGTGTCCTTCTGAAGAAGACAGCCGCCAAAATGTTGTCTTTAACACTTTATAACAGCTAGATGCTGCAGGTGCTTCTGTGTCCTTCACTCCAGGATGGGAATATTCATGCCGTGGCCAAACTTGGCAACAGATCATAAATGTACAATTGCCAACACCTTTGTGTCCCACAGTAGATTCCAGAATGATCTCAAATTGGAAAGCCTCAGGCTAAGAACATGCCAGCAGAATTGTTTCAGTAAAGGAGTCTTATTCTGCCTATACACTACCTCCATTATTAATTAATTAACACCAGGACTGCTGCAGTCTGAACCAAATGTAGTTTCCAAATACAGTGGTGCCCTGCTTTTGCGATCACAAAAAAATCGTCGCTATGCGGATTCGTCGTTAAACGAAGCGCTTGTTATGCGGGGCACCACTGTATCCATGAAAAACGTTTATGTTTACCACACCACCTTAAGTATTCATGCCTGAAACTCATAATTGGTATTATCATAAAAGGTCCCTCAGATATTTAAATGGACATGCATGTTCTCTGATATGAGAACGGAAAGATGAAGCAACACATTACCTGAGCTCTCTTTGTATCACTAGGAAGAAGCAAGCTACCTGTCTCTCGGTTAAAGGTTCGTGTCTTTGTTTTCACAGGCTCATTTGTTTCTCTATAAAGTTTCACTGGGGGCTGTTTGAAAGCCCTCTGGACTAAGTTGAAAATGCCAACAGTAAAAGCCACATCTTTTCCCAGATAGAAGTTCAACCTGTGCAGAACCATCAAACAAAGCTTTCAGTCTTCTACACTTTTTAGTGCACTTCAATTTCTACTGTTAAATGTTAAAAGCACATTATTCTTGCAGAACATTACAAAAGAAACACAACATATAGCATAATACTTGATGTAACTTTTGCCTCACCATCTTCTTCTGATAGAAGAGGGATTTTCACCAGCAAGTCTCCTGACCAACCCACAAATACGATGATACCAAGAATTTATGTATTTCTTACACTCACCTGGCTAAAGATCGCTTCCTTGTCTCTTTTGCTCGTACCTTCTTCATAAGGTCTTCTAATTTGCCAGATTCCTCAAATTGGACTCCTGAGTCCTCATCTTCTGCTGAATTAATGATGTCTCTATAGAATAAGGAGATATCAAATCCCCCAGGCTTCTTCAGGTGCATTAAATCAAGATAAATACCTGGAGTCAAAGCAGAATTGGAGGGAAATAGATGATAATTTTCTGTTATCACATCTGTGTATCTTCTAATGTTCAGACTTGAGTGCCATTGCAGGTATTGGCAAATCACATTATCCACACACAACGATTAGGGCAACATAAACAACCACTCTGACACTGGATATCTTTCAGTTAATTATTATCTTTCTGTCTAGTCAACCTAACTAGGATTGTTGTAAAAGAGTGTAAAATAAATATGCATGTCACTCTGACTCCTTGCAGGAAAGGTAGAGTATAAATGCAGTAAGGAAGTGAACCTGGCCCAAGGTTATTCGTAACAAATTATCCTGGACTAGGTAGGAACTGTTTATGCAAATATGGGACTAAGAAAGTTGTTTGTTTTTCTGAGAGAAAACAAATTTATAATTAAAAAGAATACAGTAATAACTTGTATTATTATACTTTAAAGTGACAGACTGACCTGTTTCTCGAAGATCTGTAGCTTTAGTCCTAGCAAATTTGGCTTTTGCGCTATCTTGACCATGAGGGTTATCTTCATTAGTAAACAGCATGATCCTCTTGTGGCTCATCTTGAGGCGGATATCGCTGAAGAGATTGGAGCAAATCCAAAGGGCTTCACCTAATGAGTAGTCAGCACTATGGCCAAATGACTTGCGGAACAGAGCTTGCCCTTCCTTTCCCTTGTATTTGGCCAGCTCTAATACTCGTTTTGCCCCTAATGGTAAAAAGACAAGAGAAGACTGATTATCATTTCCTGTTCTTCCAAAAACAAAACAAAAAAACAAAAAAAAAAACCCAGATGGAAGAGCACTTCTTTCCCAAGCTACAGTACAACAGGCCAACATCTGTAAATCTTCCAACAGTTTGCCCATTGTTTGTTGTCCAATTCATGTAAACAATGGTCTTCTAACTTGCCTGATTCATCAAGTAGGACTCCTAAATTTTCATCTTCTGTCCCTGTAGACATGACAGCAATTTTTGTGTCTGTCAATAACTACCATCTTTTCTTCTTTGTTAAATACATCTGACTTGAATTTCAAAAAGTATGAAATTAAAAGTTTTGCTCAGCAATTATTGTAGCCATCAACAATGAGAAAAAATAAATTACAATGGTACCTTGACTTACGAACGTCCTGACATACAACCATTTCGAGTTACGACCAGCTCCAGCTGCAAAATTTTGCTTCAACTTGCGGCTGGAGCTTTGAGTCACAACCAAAAAAGGCGGGGAATTCAAATTGCAGAGTTACAACCAAAAAAGGCAGGGAATTCAAATTGCTAACCATTAGTAGGCGAAGAGGCTGCTTCTTTGTACAGTGGTGCCTCGCTAGACGATGATAATCCGGTCCACTGAAATCGCTGTTTAGCGAAATCATTGTCTAGCAGAAAGCATTTCCCCATTGGAATGCATTGAAACCTGTTTAATGCGTCCCAATGGGGAAGAATTGTCGTTGTCTAGTGAAGATCGGCCATAGGAAAGCCACTTTGCAAACCACTGATCAACTGTTTAAATCATCTTGCGAAGCTTAGGTCCCAAAAACACCTGTTTTGCGAGCGCGGAGGGAGCTGTCAAAATCGTCGTCTAGCGAAAATCAGTTTGCAAAACAGGGACCAAACATTGTCCAGCGAAATTCCTCCATAGGAATCACTGTTTTGCAAATCACTATAGCAATCGCAAAAAGTCAATGTCTAGCGAAAAACGGTCATGTGGGGTAACTGTCTAGCGAGGCACTACTGTAGCTCTTTCGCTGCAGTGGTTAGAGTGTGTGCTATCAGAGGAGGCTTTGGACTGCTCTGTAAGGTGCTGCTTTCTACTTTTTAAAAATTGTAGCTGTTTCACTGCAGTGGTTAGAGTGTGTGCTATGAGAGGCGGCTTTGGACTGCCCGGTAAGGTGCTGCTTTCTACTTTTTAAAAACTGTTTTGGGTGGGTTTTCCAGCGTGGTTTTGGGCTGGGTGGTGGGATTATGTTTCTATGCTATGATGCACGGTTTGTTTGCTTTTTTATTTTTCCCCATTTCCGATGGGTCTTGCCTTTCTATGCTGTGATGCAGGGTTTGTTTGCTTTTGGAGCTTTTTCCCCCATTTCCGATGGGTCTTACGGGGTTTGTTTGCTTTTTTATTTTTCCCCATTTCCGATGGGTCTTGCGGGGTTTGTTTTAGAGGTTTTTCCCATTTCCGATGGGTCTTGCACGGTTTGCTTTCTGCTTTGCTTTTTCCCCATTTCTGATGGCTCTTGCATGGTTTGTTTACTTTCTCCTTTGCTTTTTCCCAATTTCCGATGGGTCTTGCACGGTTTGCTTTCTGCTTTGCTTTTCTTGCATTTCTGATGGCTCTTGCACGGTTTGTTTGCTTTCTGCTTTGCTTTTTCCCCATTTCTGATGGCTCTTGCATGGTTTGTTTACTTTCTCCTTTGATTTTTCCCAATTTCCAATGGGTCTTGCACGGTTTGCTTTCTGCTTTGCTTTTCTTGCATTTCTGATGGCTCTTGCACAGTTTGTTTGTTTTCTGCTTTGCTTTCCCCCCCACACTTCCAATGGGTCTTGTATGGTTTGCTTTCTGCTTTGCTTTTTTTGCATTTCTGATGGGTCTTACAGTTTGTTTGGGTTCTGCTTTGCTTTCTTTGAATTTCCGAAGGGTCTTGAAGTTTGTTTGCTTTTTCTCCCCATCAGCTGGAACAGATTAATCACGTTTCTGATGGGTCTTGCACGGTCTGTTTGCTTTGCTTTTTTGCATTTCCAAAGGGTCTTGCATGGTTTGTTTGCTTTTCTTTCCCTGCCCCCTTCAGCCAGAACAGATTAAGTGTGTGTGGCCTTTGATACTGTGGACCACAGTATCTTTCTGAGATTGCTATTGAGTTTATGACTTGGGAGCTCCATTTTTCAATTGTTCAAGTCCTACCTCGAGGGCTAATCCCAGAGGGTAGAGTTTGGGGGATGATGTTCACCCTTGGGACCTCCATTATGGGGTCTCCCCAGGGTTTGTCCATTTCCTCAATGCTTTTTAATATTTATATGAAACCACTGAAAGAAGTCATATAGAGCACATAGAGTCATATGGTGTTTGCAGTCATCAATACAGTGGACCCTCGACTTACAGATGGCTCGATTTACAGACTTTTTGAGTTACAGACTTCTCTGGCCGCAATTTAAAATTGTACAGAATATAAAACAGACTCTCAAGTTATACAGCTGTTCAAAATGTTGTGTCTGACTCCATAAATACTTCGATAACAAATCTATTTCATAGCATTTTTGCTTTACCTGGATTGTCCAAATCTTGAAGAACATAGATGTGCTTAAAATCCACTGAATTTTTGTGTTGTTCAGTTCCATAAAAAACCACACCAACAAGATCTCTATCATGGCTGATTATCTTGTTTGTGTAGACATTCTGAATGCACTAGTAAGGAAAGACAAATCAGTAAGGACAAAGAAGGAAAGGCCAATTAAAGAACAGCTCTTCCACATCTTTTTAAAACAGTGGTTCCGAACTTTGAGTCATCCAGGTGTTCTTAGACTGCAAGTGCTAGAAGCCTTCACCACCCATTGTGCTGGTCAGGGTTTCTGGGAGTTGCAGTCCAAGAACACCTGGGTTATCCAAGGTTGGGAACCACTGCTTTTAAAATTGTATTAAAAATATCTAGAAATACCTGAGAGTTTACATGGGGAAAGTGATGACCCCCAAAGCCAGTTCTGTTACCTCCTCATGCTACTCACAAAATAATAATAATAATCCACCAATAGTTATTTTCTACTCCTAGAAACCTCCACAGACAGCAGTTTTGCATGACAATAAAGCACAAGACATACATACATATTTTCCCCCTAAACCACAAAAAGTAAAACTCGGTGTGGACATCCAACCAACCCTTATTTTTTTTATAGATACAGACTTTCAATCTGGTACAGCCTCTGTGAACCCTGGGGGCAGAAAAATGGCCCTGAAACCCCAAAACATGGCCAACCCAGCTCTGCCACAGCATTTAAAATATATTACCCTAGCTTTGAGCAGGCTGGATAGCTCAGAGGCTTAGCTATCTGGCTGTGGAGCCAGAGGTTGGGAGTTCAGTTCCCCACTGTGCCTGCCTGTAGAGCCAGCCTGTGTGGCCATGGTCAAACTGCATAGTCCCAGGACACCTCCAGAAGAAGAGAATGACAAACACTTCTGAGTATTCTCTACGTGTAAAACTTTGAAAACAGTCAACATAAGTCAGAATTGACTTGATGGTACATGATTGTTATTATTACCGTAGCTTTACAGAAGAACAGAGGAAACTCCACAAAAAGTGCATCAAAATACATTACCATGAATATTATGAAATTGACAAATACACATTCATGTTACATGAAATGCAGCACAGAACATATACAAACAAAATGATGAAATACACAAAATAGTCAAAAGTTAAATAAAGCCAGTAAGTATTCTGTACTTTATATAATGTGAGCCTTCCAACAAGTTTAGCTTAGCTTTATAGAATATTTTCATGGATGACAAAATCTAGTTTAAAAGATGCCTGGAACTAAGAAATAATTTGCCCATCCTCACTATTATCAACACTGCATGTAAGAGCCATTGGCCCATAGGGCTTGACACAGTTGACATTACATGGGGGGGGGGAAGCCTTCCACTGGAGCGTGTGAAAGGGTTTTTTAAGCCTAACTGCAGTTCAGCTTGGGCAAGAGCAGTCACAACTAGGAACAGAAAATTTCTTTTCCAGTGCAGCGGACTTTTTTTGTATGTGAATTCAAAGATCAGCTAGCATAACCCTCTTCCCCTCCAACTATTATTTTTAAGCAGAGGTTCAGAAAGTCAGCTGACAGAAACTTTGCCTCTATGATTTTAAAATTAACTATTTCAATCTCATCAATATGCTTTAAATACATTAGATTGCAATCCCGTCTATACTTACACTAAAATGAGCTGCACTGGATATAAAATACCTCACTTTTGAACTCAGAATGTTCACATTTTTTAAAAAAAACATGTTTCTTAAGCTCATGCCAGTCACCCCAGAATTTAAGCATCAATAATACAATATAAAAATGTCTATTTCTAAGTTGTAAAAACATGTTTCTGCCTCCTGAGGAGTCATACTCAGGTTTAGTATAAGCAAAGATAAGTACACATTTCAACTACAGTACGTGGGAAATATACAGTCTTGAAGTGTTTAAACACTCCCATGGATAAAAATGAAATTATTTCCAAATGCTCTACCATCCGAGTGATTCTTTAATTTAAATCGGGAGAAGTAATTTAGGAGGGTTCAAGGTGAATTTTCCACTCCCAAAAACCAACCAGGAGCCACACCACACTAAAAAATGAAGAGAATTAAGAAAAATCAGAATCAAATGTTACTGGAAGCCCATTTTCATTTCATTTTTGTGAGTTTGAGGGGAAGGGTTGGTGGAACCCTCTGCCTTGTTCAGGGTCTCAAGCACATAAAATTACCTTCTTACATGTTTTGCTTGTTTATGTGAGGGATCACTCTTCTGCATGCATACTTATACAGTACTCTATTTTGGATCTTTAAGGTCTATAATGCTTTGCTTGTTTTGGACATGTTGTCCCAGACCATCTGGTGCCCAAATCGGATTTTAAAGCACAGGCATATACATATTTATATACTGATTAAAGAGCTTAACACAAAACTGAAACTACTTTCTTATACAAAATAAAATATCTTTCATCATCCCAAGAGTAATGGAATTATCTGGTAATATGAAGAAAAGGGAATTGACAACCTGTTCTGTTGTTCTTTGGTGAACTATTACATTACTACTATAATACTGCCCCAACATATTTCAAAATCTTTCAGACTACAAGATACAGAATCAACATTCAATTTCTGAAGGATATTCTTACCCGGATTGTCATATCAAAAGGAGACAAATCACTATTATCATAGCAGTCAAACATGGCTCTTGAGGCATCGACTAAGAAAACCAATGTGTCCCGACCTGAATATTTATATTCTCCTGTAGCGGGGAAAAATGCAAATCCTATATATGAGTCATCCCTTTTATTCAATTATTCAATGACATTTACTTAATTACAAATTGCATATTCATCATAGAATCACAGATAAATGGAGTTGGAAATACAATCAAATCCGACTGAAATCTGGCTTCCTGCAACTTGAGCCCACTATTACATGTCTTGCACACTAGGATGATCAAGATCAGGTCCTGCCCCACCTCTGTATGATAATCTTTCAAGCATTTGAAGAGTGCCATAACATGGGGTCACAAAGAGTTGGACACAACTTAATGACTAAACAACAACAAAATAGTATCTCCCTTCTGTCTTCTTTTCTCAAGGCTAAACATGCCCAGCTCTTTCAGTCTTTCCTCACAGGGCTTGGTTTCTAGTCCCCTGATCATCCTCTGAACTTGTTCCAGTTAGATGGCATCCTTCTTAAAGCATGGTGTGAGGACACAGTACTTAAGATGAATCCTCATCAGTGCCAAAAAAGAAGGGAACAAGTACACAGGATTTGGAGATTATATTTCTGCTAACACAATCTAAAATAGCATTGGCTTTTTATGCAGCCACATCAAACTGTTGGCTCATATTCAGCTTGTGATCTACAACAACAGCAAGACCGTTCTCACATGTAGTATTAATGAACCAAGTATTCCCCATCTTGTAACTGTTTGGTCCCCAGTCCCCAAGGTGAAGAACTCTACACTTATCCTTGTTAAATTTCATTCTGTTGTTTTCAGCCCAGTGCTCCAGCCTATAAAGATCTTTTTAAATTTTGTGTCTGTCTTCCAGGGAATTAACTATCCCACAAAATTTTGTGTCATTCACAAATTTGATAACCATTTCCTATACCCCCTTCATCCAAATCATTATAAAATTTTTAAAGAGCACCACATCCAGGACTGAGCCTCATGGTACCCCAATTGTTATTTATTCCCAGTCCGAAGAAGAGCTACTGATAAGCATTCTCTGAGTATGATTCTATAACCAACTGTGTGTTCACCAGATAGTTGTTCTATCCAGCCCACACTATTTAATTTGCTAATTGGAATATAATGGAGCACTTTGTCAAAAGCTTTGCTGAACTCAAGATACAGTATATTATGTCTTCAGCATTCCTATCATGTCTACCAGGGAGGTTATCCAATCAAACCCTGAAAAAATTAAATTTGTTTTTCTACAAAACTGAAAGCACATGTACTTGTATACTGTATATACTCACAATGTGCTTATCCTTACTGAGTAAGAATGATATGTATTTTTCAAACAGTTTACTTACACCTTAGCTCATTACAATTTTCACAGATCTAGTTATGGTCCGTTCTAATTAGAGGTATATATATATTGTGTTTTGGACTACAACGGGCCATGCTGCTGGGGAAAAACATGTAGGTTAGCACACCTACAATCCTTATCTTTGGTACTGCAGGATCCCACATCATGGTCAAAGTGCCCATAAAAGCAACAAAATATTATAAACACAAAGTGCACACTAGCAGACTGTACTACATAATATTTCATATATGCAGGCATGTAGAAAAACACTGATTCAGCTATTCTAGTTCTCAGTTATTTTCAATATTCATGTTGCAGGCTAGTTTCAAGACTACATGTGGCAAATCAACATGATATATGTGTCTGAAGATTGATTCTTACCAATGGTTTCAACTTCTTCATTTTGTTCCTCTTCTTCCTCATCATCTTCATTTTTATAATATGATACCCAGTCTGACATATCTTAACGACTTGCTAAGGAGAATAGATGAAGCAAGTAAATATTCTAGCAGGTGATTCCAGATCTGCTCTCAAACAATATATTTAAGAGAACAAACAGCAGTAGAAGAAAGAAGAATGTTACTTCTCTATATAAACAAGTCTTGCACAGCTCTTTTTCAGCAAACCAAAGATTTGCAATCTATAAAAGAGATACCATTCACACTTCTGATTTGACATTTACTAAAGAATCTGGATCTCCAAACCTAAGATTGTCCCCTCTATCGTTGTGACTCTACTAACAATAGAACTTCATCCAATATATTAGTAATCTTTCCGATTATCATTGGAATAAGATAGCTACTCAGATAAAGACCCAGAGACTCTGTAAGTAAAATTAAACAATTACATTTGTGTCAAATTTACAGGAATACCTACATGTGAGTGTAGAATTCCTAACATCTGTTCTAGTTGTCTCAACTCTGGAAATTCCAGGTTTATAAAAAGTCTCTGGCCTGTTAAATTAAATTTACCTAGTAAGTCATCTCTGCGAAGGAGGCAGACAGCAAATGCTACAATGCTTCTGGTCATCTCTGCCTGTTGACCTTTAATCTTAGGAATGTAAAGTGGAAGAGATCCTATCGATCATTGCATCCACAAGAAACTGGTATGCACTGATAACTAAATCTGATATTTAGGAGGAAATAACATTCTGCATTCTATTCAGAACAAATAACCTGCACATTTGAATCAAATCCTCCTGGTGCAATGTTTGTATTAGTACACAATCCTACATGGGCAAAAGCTTAGCTCATCAGCCACATGAGACAGAAACTAAGAAGCTGCAACTGTACACTAACTAAATAACTGAAACATAAGCTACACTGACTACATGAGAACATTACAGTATACTTAACCAGAAGTACCACAGTATTCTGTAACACTTACTCCAGAGCAGTTTTGCTCAAGATTGCAAATTTTAACAATCAAGGTGTGTTGCACGGCCAAATACTATACATTTCTCTATGCTCCTAAAGATAAAAGATCTTGAGCTGGCCTAAGAGATTTGTAAGGATCATAATGAGAATAGATCTTTTGACTAAAGTGGATATAAGCCTTACAAAATACTTTAAAATGATTTCTGGGGTAAATCAGAATTATATGCACCAGAGAAAAGCATATATTTCCCTTATAAGACAAACAATTTGATGCAGGTGTTATGGATTTATACTTGTCCAATACCCCTTTTGCTACAAACTATTGTTATATGCCATCAAGTTGTTTCTGCCTTATGACAACCCTATGAATTAATTGCCTCAATGAAGTTGTATCATGAAGAGCCCTACTCTGTATAGAAACCTAAAAACTATGGCTTACTTTACTGAGTCAATGATCCCATGTGTACACTTCCTCTCTTTCTAAAACCGTCAATCTTTCCTAGCTTTAATGTCTTTTCCCATGAATCTTATGACAGCCTCAATGTAGTCATGACTAGTTTTGAATGAGAGTTTAGGCTTGATTTGAACTAGATGCCACTTGTATTTGTCTTCTCAGCAGTCCATGGTATCCATAAAGCTCCCTTCCAACACTGCATTTCAAATGAATTTTTTTTCTTACTAGGTTTCTTCACTATCCAAGTGACACATACGTATAATCAGGAATAGCAAAATGAGGATTGGTTTCTTGCAACCCATTTTAACTCTTAAATATATATATTTTAGTTCCTTCATAATTGCATTTCGAAGTCCCAAGTATTCTGCTGATTTCTTGGCTGCAGTCTCCATTTTGATTGTTTGAATCAAAATACAGAAGAATTTTGATGATTTCAATTTCTTCGTTGTCCACACCAAAGTTATGTAATTCTTCTGCTGCCACAGTTTTTATCTTCTTAATGTTCAACTGTAGACCTGCTTCACCCTTTCCTTCACCTTCATCAGCATTCAAGTCTTTCCAGGAGCTGTCGGATACTAACAACATGTCCCCCCACCCCAATTTCCTGGGACTACTCAAGCTGAGAAAAAAGGCCCCGTGACAGCAAACCAACATTAGAAACTACAGTATTTGCCATCAGCTCCTGAAGAAACCTTTAACTTGAGCCAACTTTGGGGTCTTTGGGGGGGGGAGGACATCTTTTTGGTTTAGGATTTTCAAGTTGTGAAGCATTGGCAAGAAAGGGGCTATAACCACCTAAGGAGTGTATTCAAATGAACACATACACAACGGAAGCACAACCTAGAATCCTTTTCCAAACCCTAAAAAGGCGACCGCAACAATTAATGATTTTTTTAAAAAATTTCGGGGCTCGCGCTTCAAGCGCCTCCCTTCTCTTGTTCAAGCCAGGGGGAGAAGGCGCCTGCAACGCTGGCTCTGGACCCGCCATAAACACAACTCAAAGAAGGGAAAGCTTCTTTTAGACGCAGTCCAGCCCCGGCCGAAAGGCCAACATGTACCCGAGCCCCGGCACCGAAATAAGCAGCAACCCCCGTCCCGACGAAAAGATACCCCCTCCCCCGTTACCTCCACTCCGCCGGCGGGATCTCTCTCGGCTTTTACTTCCCGACACACGTTCCTACCCCGGGACCTGTCGATCACCAGTACCCTCCGCCCCCAAGAAGAACGGCGGCCCAATGGTAGCAGGGAACTCAGCGACACCGTTCCTTCTCCTAGCCCCGAAAAGGTCCTGTGCTCAAGAGAATCCATAGAGGTAATCGTTTGAAAACTCGTCGAGGCTTCCCAATTCAGGTTTCCTTTCGACTCTCTCCTTTCCCCAGGTGGGAAGTGAAAGTATCGCCTGAAAATGATAAAAGAAGTGCAGGCTTTTGCCTGGCTGTAACTGCGAAGCAGCATACAAGCCGCAAAAGAACAGGAGACTGGGGAAGAAAGGGGGGGGGGGGGGAAGAAGACACATGGCAGTTTTTTTCTGACTCAAGACATCTCTCACTCTGGGTGCCTTCTTAGTTGCTGCGGTTGTCGTGGCATACCTCCACCCACCTCTTGCTGTGTGCACCGTCTCTGCTCTGATTCTACCGATCACGTTTACTCTCCCTCTTCCTTTCACTCATGTATTGAAGTATATTACATTTGTCATGAGGAACATATGTGTGCAAAAATATGAGAACTTGAATTAGCTTTAAATATTGTCTTAAGTGATGTAAACCTCCTTGGGCCTACTTTAAGGAGAAATTGGGGGGGGGGTGTTATTTTAAATAAATAAATAAATAATCATTTCTTTTCCCTTTCCTATCTGATGAAGTATCTCATTATTATGTACAGTATCTTATTAGTCCATGGGATGCAAAGGATTCTTCTATCTGTTGTCAGCATATCAACACTGTTTATTCTACTCTTCTTCTTACCAGTCCACACATCACATCCATATAGCAGAGTTGACCATAAGTAACACTTTATCATCCTCAGCCTCAAATATATATTAAGCTGTTTGTTACACAACATATACTTCTGCTTCATAAAGGTTGTTCTATCGCAATCCTTGTTTCATTATTATCATGACGCCTTTGTGGTTGTTGATTAAATGCCCCGGGGAACACATATTTGTCTACTCAAGCCCTAGAAAAGTTTTTAAAATGCAATGAGGATGCATATTAAAGCAATGGAGCCCATGCTTCTAAAAGAGATGGCTTCAAGCTTGGAGAGCGGCTAGGACAGGATGGACTGGACCTTTCAAGGAGAAAGGTGGGGTAAAAAATATTTTAAATAAATAAACAAGTGTAATTTAACCATGTCAATGTTTTTCTGAAACCTAAAAATGTTTGTTGAGATTTGTTATTTTGCTCTAAAATTATAGTTTTCATGGGAAATAAACCCCCAGTTAAACAACATCGGAGGTAACTTGACGACACATACAGTTGTGTTCAAAATTATTCAACCCCCAATGCTGTAAAGGGGTTTAGGGACTATAGTGTACATTTGGAATTGTATTCAGAATGAAATCCTACAAGTACGTTTTAAAGAACCAAATGCAACTAAAATAACATAAATTGTTTATGTAATACAGTAGTAAATGTTTCTTTTGTGGTTTCTTCATTGCCACAATTATTCAACCCCTTAAAGACTACCACTCTGAAGAAGAGAGGTTCATTCAGGTGTTTTCGATCAGGTATTGAAAACACCTGTGGATGTCACCGAGCACCAATCAAGCATAATAAGCACCAATTAGGCAGCTTTAAAATGACTGTGATACTCAGCTCCTTCTAGACATTTACTGGTGTGGTTACAAACATGGTGAAGTCAAGAGAATGGTCCAGGAAGACAAGAGAAGAGGTGATTTGTCTTCACAGGAAGGGCAATGGCTATAAGAAGATTGCAAAGAAGTTAAACATACCAAGAGACACCACAGGAAGCATCATTCGCAAATTCAAGGCAAAGGGCACTGTTGAAATGCTACGCGGTCAGCCTTCTTTATGGTCCAACTCTCACTTCCATACATCGCTACTGGAAAAACCATAGTTTTGACTATGCGGATCTTTGTCGGCAAGGTGATGTCTCTGCTTTTTAAGATGCTGTCTAGGTTTGTCATCGCTTTCCTCCCAAGAAGCAGGCATCTTTTAATTTTGTGGCTGCTGTCACCATCTGTGATCATCGAGCCCAAGAAGGTAAACTCTGTCACTGCCTCCATATCTTCCTCTTCTATTTGCCAGGAGGTGATGGAGCCACTGGCCATGATATTAGTTTTTTTGATGTCGAGCTTTAGACAACTTTTTGCGCTCTCCTCTTTCACCCTCATTAAGAGGTTCTTAAATTCCTCCTCACTTTCTGCCATCAGAATGGTATCATCTGCATATCTGAGGCTGTTGATATTTCTTTCAGCAATCTTAATTCCGGCTTGGGATTCCTCCAGTACAGCCTTCTGCATGATGTATTCTGCATATAAGTTAAACAAGCAGGGAGACAATATACAGCCTTGTTGTACTCCTTTCCCAATTTTGAACCAATCTGTTGTTCCATATCCAGTTCTAACTGTTGCTTCCTGTCCCACATATAGATTTCTCAGGAGATGGATAAGGTAGTCAGGCACTCCTATTTCTTAAGAACTTGCCATAATTTGCTACCATATATTTGTCGTGGTGGGGGCAGGCAGCCCACCCGAGGTATGATAACGGTTCAGCCATCTCCGTTGTTTTCTACACTCACTGCAAAAGATAATGGTAGGAAAAACTGAAGGCAGGAGGAAGAGAGAAAAACCAAATATGAGATGAATTGATTGAATAAAGGAAATGACAGCCTTGTGTTTGCAAAAACTGAATAGTGCTGTAGTAACAGGACATTTTAAAGGGCACTTTAAAATTGGTGCTGATCACAACTCTTGGCCCACCTGTCTAGGCCATTTTAACATCATCAGGTCCTTTCATGAGGAAATGAAGAGCACTGTAGTTTTTGATATCTCAACATCAGATCCCTTTGACATCCGAAGCAAAGTAAAACAAGGCTGTGACCTCACGCTGACCCTGTTTGGGATCTTTTTTGCTGTCATGCTGAAGCAGGCCTTTGGAACTGCAACAGAAGATGTCTATCTCCAGACTAGATCAGATGGAAAGCTCTTTAATCTCTCTAGATTGAGAGCAAAGACCAAAGTCCAACTGAAATGCATACGGGACTTCCTCTTTGTCGATGATGCAGCCATTGTTGCCCACTCAGCTGAAGACCTCCAACAACACATGAATCATTTTAGCAAGGCCTGCTAAGACTTTGGACTAACCATCAGCCCGAAGAAAACACAAGTCATGGGCCAGGGTGTGGACTCACCTCCCTCTATTACTATCTCCATGCAATTGGAGGTTGTTCATGACTTTGTGTACCTTGGCTCAACGATCTCTGACACCGTTTCCCTAGATGTTGAGCTTCATAAACGCATTGGGAAAGCAACTACCATATTCTCTAGACTCACAAAGAGAGTATGGCTTAATAAGAAGCTGACGGCATATACCAAGATGCAGGTCTATAGAGCCTGTGTCCTGAGCACACTCTTGTACTGCAGTGAGTCCTGGACCCGTGCATGGCAGGAGAGGAAGCTGAACACCTTCCATATGCATTGTCTCCAACACATTTTTGGTATCATCTGGCAGGACAAAGTTTGAAATAGAGTAATCCTAGAACGAGCTGGAATTTTTAGTATGTACACATTACTGAAGCAGCACCGTCTACATTGGCTTGGGCATGCTGTGAAAACGGCTAATTGTCAGATTCCAAAAGATCTCTGTATGGAGAATTAGTGCAGGGAAATCACCCCAGAGGGAGATCACAGCTGTGATACAAGGATATCTGCAAGCGGGATCTGAAGACCTTAGGAATGGACCTCAACAGATGGGAAACATTGACGTCTAAGCGTTCAGCCTGGAGGCAGGCGGGGCATCACGGCCTCTCCCAATTTGAAGAGACCCTTGTCCAGCAGGCCGAGTCAAAGAGGCAAACACGAAACAAGCAAAACCAGGGAGCTGGACAGGGGACAGATTGCATTTGTCTTCAGTGTGGATGGGATTGTCATTCTCGAATTGGCCTTCTCAGCCACACAAGACGCTGTTCCAAGACCTCCATACAGAGCATGATACTATAGTCTCTCGAGACTGAAGGATGCCTACTAGAAAAGGGCACTCATTCAGATGGTCGCAATGGATCGAAGGCGACTTGACGGTACCTAACAACAATTTGTTTTCAACAGACATGTCTCACTGCTGTCTGTGGAGAAAAAAAAATAGAATACAAGAAGCTTGCAAGTTTTACCTCCACAATAGAATCCGTCGCCCCTCCTATTTCTACGGATTTCTCTGAGACCCTGAAGTTTTAACGCGCCGTTAAAGATTCCAGTCACATCCGGCCCCTCGATTCTTAATCCCGCCCACCAGTAACTTCCTACCCGGTCATTACTCAGCAAAGGCTTCGGTCCCCACCCCTCCCTCACATTCTAACCAATAGCCTAAGGAAAAGCCTTTATCACAACGTCCTCACGATACCGCTCACAAGGAATAACCACGACCAAAGCCTCTTGGCTCCGCCTCCCAGCTGCTAAGCACCGCTCCCTCATAGAAGCGCCGTAACAAGCAGGCGGGTTCGCCTTGTGGGGGCGGCGCATGCGTAGAATGAATGTTCCCTTTCCCCCCCCCTCTGCCCTCCCTCCCCCTTTTTCTGTCACCTTCTGTCAGTCGGTGGTCACCTCGGTAGCCGCCGCTGGAGCCGGGCCGGCTGAGCTTCCTCCGCCTCTTTCTTTCGCGACCGGCCGCGGCGAGGCGTTCCCTCACGACCCTCGGGGTCTTTTGGTCAGTGCCGTCAGTCTGACATCTGCCTCTTCTTCGCCAATGCTATGGACTCGCCGCCGATGCTGCACCCGGTGAAGCTCTACGTTTACGACCTATCCAAGGGCATGGCTCGGCGCCTCAGTCCTATCATGCTCGGTAAGAAGAGCGCGGGGAGGGGGCGAAGAGGGAGACGAGACACACACCCCCAATCGCTGGCATGGGAGGAGTGAGAGAAGGGAACTGGTGCCCTTCTTATATTATGGAGGGAAGGGGCAGCCCAGACTCCCTCCCCCCCCCACACACACAGGGTACCTCCGTTATTCCCCAAACTGAGTAAAGGGTAAACATGTGAAAAGATGCGGGTTTTAATCCTTAACCTCTTCCTCCCACCCTCCGGTTCATGTTATGCGTTGATCCTTAACGCGCTCCCGCCCCCACGTTATGCAAGAGGTTCTTAGGGGCTTGATGGTGATCCAGGGTGGTAATCAAAAAATTGGCATTTTTTCCCTTGTCGGATGCGGATTCTTTTTCTCATCTGCCGTCACAAAGGGAGCAAAGCTAGGGCAGAAGCTGCGATATAATTCTCTCCCTGGACGCTTTTGAAATGGGCGAGTGTGGGTGTGATCACTGTGGGATTGGTTGAATTGTTTTAAAAAATTTAAATCCCTCCGGTAATGTATTTTTCATTGTGTGCGAGAAAGTGGATGAATGACATAGCCAGTATTTAATGTAAACCCTGTATCTATGATCCACTGATGGAGAAATCAAACTTTCTCTTCTGTTTGTACATAAAGTGTCCAGACTTTCTGCTGCTGCTGCTAAAAAAAGTTCTCTATGACATATTGATGTTCCAAAGCCATTAGAAGTTGCAATTGTTTGGACCATTGCTAAGTCTTTTTTCAGCGTAGGAATATTTGGTTGCGGAGGTTAAAAACTTTTGCCGAAATCAACAGAGATGTAAGGACCATGCCTTCATTTCATGTGGTGTGTTCTCTGGATCATAATGCTGTGTTTGAATAATTTAACTTGAGAGACACAAGTTTTCAGCAAGTTACAACCTGTAATATCTTACAGGGGTAACAACTTTTAGGCTGAAATTCTTTACACATTTCAAGAGAAATTCCTCTTGAACTTGGTAAGACTTATGAAAAAAGCATACAAAAGATTATACCGTCAGTGTAATATAGAATGGTTGCAACTTAATTTGAAATTCCTGTGTTAAAGTTACATTAGAGGAGATGCTTGTTCACCTAGTTTCTTACAGATGTCTGCCTCCACACAGATCCCTTAGTCATGACATGTCAAATTTAACAGGCCTAGTGTACTTCAGCTACTTAATCAGAGTCACTACTTCCTTATGTAATTTAACTGAGAGATTAATGTTGATGTAAATTAACAACCCTATGTTGTGAGCATGGAAAGCTACTTTATATTTATGTAATTTATCTGTATTTTTTTAAAAAATCTCACCTATACAGTACTTACCCATAAAAGTGGGTGTCAGTGTAGTGTACAAATATCAAATAAATTGCCAGCATAATTTAAAACACCAAAAGAACAATAAGGAAATGTTGACCTTTTCCCCATCTCATAAGATATATCTATGAAAGCCCCACTGAACTGAAGGGAGGATGCTTGCTTGCATTCAAAAAACAATTTATATATTTTCTGTACATTAATTGTATAGACACACCTATCTGATTTACCTTAAGCTTAGTAGCCTTTTAAAGACATTTCTATTTGGCTTGCAACTGGGCAGTAAAATTATCACAAATAGGAATGCTTTAAGACACAGACCTTTTGGGACTACATATATTGAACAATCCTAGCTGCCTCAGGTGGCGAATTGAGATAGTGATTCCCACAATATATGCAATATTAACTTACCCATTTTGGATTCATTTAATTCAAATTATGTATGTGTGTGCATGAAATAGAACTAAATTGTCCAATTTTGCTACATAAAAACCAATGTTTTTGTTTTAGTTGCATAGTCACTCAACCTGGGCCTTATTGAAACTGGTAGGACATGTTAGTCACGACACTGAGATCTAATAAGATCCAATTTCATTTCCACCTACTTAGCTTGGACAATCAAGTGGAAGCTCTTGGGTACTTTTGTTAAATACCAAAAAGTTGATAATTATTGTTAATTCATCAAAATACCTTATTCCTATTTCTTTCCTACTGCTGTTAATATGAGTTTGCACGTCACTCTATACCACAACAACAAACTTGTTTAGCTTGCCATTTAACAAAATACAAATACCTCCCACACTGAGCTCTGTTCCAGCTAAAGCTAAGCTAAGTATTGCATAACTATACAACTTGGTCCTGAAAGTTTTTTCCTTTCTCTAAAGAGATGTTTGTGTGAGAGAGGGGAATTTAAAAAAATTATATTAGTAATGTTTTAAAATATGCTGAAAGTTTTTGGATGAAACATACTGCATATTCAAAAAATGTAGATCTGTGTACATTTGTTTTTTTATTTTTATGCAGGCTATATATCTTCCCTGCAAAAAAGTGGAATATCTATGTATGTTCCCAGCTCTTATGTATTTTTCTCAAAAACAAAATATAATAGCTCAAAATATAGTATAAAGGCTGTAATTCTAAGTTTTGTGTACAGTGTGGTTGTAGAAATATTCTGTTTAAATTTACAAAAGATCCTATATACAGTACTTTGCTTCTACATGTGCTTGCGCAAAAGTAGATTGCCCTGGATTCAGTGTGAGACTTGTTACAGAATTAAGAATGCAGGAGATGGTGCAATCACCATCATTTTACTAGGTTATAATTCTTTAAATCACACTGTCACTGCTACAATTAGACTTATGTTATTAAATGTATTGCATTCAGTAATACAATGCATTTTTGTTAGCCTAACTGGTTCAAAATTAATAAAAATAAATGTTTTCCTTGACAGGGACTTATTTGACATGCCTTGACAAAAAAATTACCTTTACTGTGAACCATTCTAGCATAGCTTTACAGATTAGTTTGCAAAAAGTTTTAGGAGTCTGCCACCACTGTAAGCTTACAGCCATTCGTAAAAGGGGACAAAATGACCATCTCTTTATGAAATCAATCTGCCTGATCCTCTGGGGGTGCTACAGGCCAGTTACTGTCTGTGAGCCAAGTTGGGATTAGATTTTAAAAGGAAAGATTTAGGTCAGGAATGGGCAAAGTGTGGCCGTCAAATGTTGATGGGTTGCATCTCCCAGCATTCCTTACCATTGATTGCATTGGCTAGGACTGGTGGGAGCTCAGTCTGAGAACATCTGGAGGAGTGCACTTCTCTCATTTACATTTTAGGGACTACAGGCCATCTACTGAGCTATTGGTAAAGTAACACCTACCTATAGAGTACATATGTTGATATACTGGAAATGTGTACAGTGTTCTCTTTAGGAAACCTGACACCATTTAGATTTGTTAGCGAGGGACATGGTGGCGCTGTGGGTTTAACCACAGAAGCCTCTGTGCTGCAGGGTCAGAAGACCAGCAGTCATAAGATCAAATCCATGCGATAGAGTGAGCTTCTGTTGCTTGTCCCAGCTCCTGCCAACCTAGCAGTTTGAAAGCATGTAAAAATGTGAGTAGATAACTAGGTACCACCTTGGTGGGAAGGTAATGGCATTCCGTGTCTAGTCACACTGGCCATGTGACCACGGAAACTGTCTTCGGACAAACGCTGGCTCTACAGCTTGGAAATGGGGATGAGCACCGTGCCCTAAAGTCGGACACGACTGAACTAAATGTCAAGGGTAACCTTTTGTGAAGGAGCGGATAGAGTGTGCCGTCCGTGGTGGACAAAATGGAGGAGAAGAGAAAAGAAGGGGAACATCAGGATATGACAGGGAGTAGAGAAGGAACAGAAGGGGATTTGACAGTTGGAGAAAGAGCGGGAAAGACGGGGGTCTATCTGACAGAAGCGGAGTGGGAGGAGCAAGAGATATCTGTGTGGGAGGAGGAAAAAAGTGAAGAGGGAGTGGGTTGGTTTAGTACAGTAGTAGAGGAATACGAACGCAAGAAAAGGGAGGAAAGACGGAAGGCATTTGAAAAGGTCGGTCAACAAGGGCTCTTGAGAGACTTCCCAAATCTAAAAGTAGGAGGACTCCTCCCTAATCCTGAACCAGAAGAAGAGAAGCCAAGACGTGTGGTGGCGCACGAATGGACAGTCATCGTGGCACCACGAGAGGCTGAGTTACGCCAGGAGTGGGAGCAGACAGCAGCACCTTTTCCTGAGGGACCGGACAAGAGGGGGTGGGTGAGGCACTCATGTTGTGGGATGATCTGTGCAATGAGGAGTGCCACACCCCCGCGATCGGAGGTCAAGGAGCGACATGGGGTGCTACACCGATAAGTCCATGGGACTATAGAAAACATTTTATTGACGTTGATAATGGCCTGTTGCCGAAGTTGGAACCAATGTTACCTTCAAGTGAAGTGCTGGTGGATGTGGGAGACAATAAAGTTGACAGTTCAAAAGTTGTAAAGACTAAGCCTTTGTTATTTCCCTCCGAAAATGAGGGGCCGCCTGAGAGAGGCAGTGGACCTCTTCAAACCTTTACCTTTAGATCTGTTAGCATAAACCACAAGGATTAAGATATGTCATTTCTAGCTCTGCCAGATGCCAACATCTGGAGCAGCAGGGAAATACGCTGTTGTTTGCTCTTTTAGAGGGGCACTGTTATGTCATCCTGTAAGAAATGAGAATACGTTATTATGGGAAGTAACCTGCTACAACTTGTAAATGTTTTTAATTTCCCCCCTATATATAGGTAAGCAGCTAGATGGCATCTGGTAAGTAACCAAATTAAAAATTACACATAGTATAAAACATTTCCACAATTGATTGATTTTATTTATTTATTAGATTTGTATCCTGCCCATCTAGAGTATGTCTACTCTTTTAAGCTCTATTCAAGTAATATTCTGTATGAATTAGTGTAGTGGAATGCTTTGAATGTTCTTTCCAATTTTTGTGTAATACTATTACAGTGAAAAGCATTTTAGAGAAGTAAAAAAACTTTAAGGTAGTTTTAATCATGTCATCTCCATTGTAGATTTAGGGCAACAGTGTTTGCTTAATCAACCCACAGTCTATTGATTGGTGGTTTCAAAAATGTATGATTTTTTTAAATGGAAGTACTTAGAAAAACTTTGCCTGGCAGAAATAATCCTAAAAGCAGCCTTTTCCCTCCTTTCTCATACAAGAGGAATTGCATCTTTTAAGATGATACTTACCGCAATGGTTGCGTACATCATAATAGCAAACTGGCTGAAATCCAGCAATAAGTCACAACTAGAGAAGGTCCATTGACTTAATAGGGTTTTGGTGAGTTAACTCCTCCATAGGTTCCACTGATTCAGTGGGTCTACTCTAGTTGTGACTTACTACTGGGCTTCAGCCACTGGTTTTTTTCTTTACTTTGAACAATTATTTTGTTCATATTCTTCAGTTTTAATTTCTAATCACCTGACTGGAAGGGCTGAACTGAAGCAGTACACAATGCAATGTTTTGTTATATGATTTTGTAATTAGCAATTTGTAAGTGGGACAAAAGATGCTGTCCAGAATTAAAGAAGGCAAGGAACCTACTCTTGTTTTCTGTAATCTTGCTATTATTTGATCTTGTTGTTTGATTTAGTTATACGCTTGGCTCTAGAGATACTGTGGATTTTTTAAACCAACAATTTGGTTTATTTTTTGTTGTAACTTGCTGCTTAATTATTTCCTGTCTCTTTCTCCATTTCTTTTAGGCACACATCCATAGTTGTCCATAGGGATGAGTTCTTCTATGGCAGTGGTGGGATCTCCAGTTGTCCTCCTGTAAGTTAAACAGATCCTAGTTTCATCCCTATTCTGTCTCATCATTTCCACAATATATTTCTGCTTTTTTATTTCTAGAGTCTATTTAGGAAAATAGCAAATACATAGACATACATTTAGTGCAGCATTGCCAGTTCCTAAACACTGAGAAATTTGTGCTCCAAAATTTTGACTGCTTTTTTCCTGGTACATTTGTTTCAAACTCCAAAAAACACTGTTCTGTAGCCATTGTGGACTCTGAGTAGACATACATAGCACATTCTTGGTGTATACTGCAATCTGAGATTTAAACAGCTTTTTCCTGTTGCTGATCAGCCTAAGACCCTGCACCTCCCCTCCCACAAACCTACAGTATTTTTCACTTCGGCAAGATGATGCTAGAAAAGAACCAAATAGTTGAAACCAAATCTATGTTTCCTTTTTCCTTCCCTTCCTCACTCCAAAATGGACATGTGTGAGATATCTTCTCAAACTTGACTAGCATATGTTTTTTACTATTAAATTGGCAAAAATGGTAGTTGCTTTGAGCAATTTTAAGGAGAAACATGGGGTAAAATATTTTAAATAAATAACATAAATAAATAAGTAATTGAATAGATGGGCAGGGATGAGAATTTCAGCACAATATATTCCATGTTAGAAGATGAGAAATAGTTCTTGATGTGTTATCACTTCCTGGATGTGAATTTTACAGGGTGGAACACTGCTTGGACCCCCAGACTCTATAGTAGACTTGGGAAGCACAGAAGTTTCAGAAGACCTCTTCCTAGAATACTTGTCTTCTTTGGGGGAGTCTATATTCCGGTAAGAATGCTCCCCATTCCTATTCTAAAATTCCTTGAAAGATGTAATAGTGAGGAATCTGCTTGACATGGATCGCACAACTGTGCTCCCTTCTAATACAAAACACCTTTTGATTTGATTTGGAGTTATACAGACTCCATCACAGGGTTTACTCTGGAATTGCTTTGCAGAAATCAAACTTCATTACTTTATAGTGTTTATCTTGATCAGGAAGATTTGATGCAATATGAATAGGTTAATTTGCATCCCTTAGAGTTTTTCATTTCAGATGTTGTCAAATCTTGAATTATTTCATTTCAAATGTAAGCCACAGGGTGTTTCATCAAATGATTTGTCAGTGTACATGCCTTAGTTACTTTTAGTTTGACTGATGCTTCCATAATATACCTTCTAATAGAAAGAGTAATGTCTCTTAGAAAAGCTGATCTGTAGGAAAGCATGGCCAAAAGCCTGTCATATAGTTTCACTAAATCCTACAGCTTCTCTTAGAATCAGCCATTCCCCTCTCTCCCTATGCAACCTGAAAAAAACTGATTCAGCAGACTGAACACCCTCTGGAGCAGATTTTTGCTGTAACAGTATGCTATAGCACAGGGGGAAGAAAAGTCCCAGTTCTGCTGACATTGAATACTAAGGTACACCATTGGATCTTGGTCTGTGCTAAGTGTGTGATGACAGCATACTTTTCTCTGCCAAAGGAGAACACTTTAAAACAAATTAGGATAAATCCTGGTGTGAGAAAGGAATACTTCAAGGGGAAAAAGCGATGGTACAGAAACAGGAATATATTTCATAAAATGCTAGGCCAGTAGTTCGATGGAACTGTATGGTGAGATTTGGTTTAAAAATACTATGAAGTTCTATGGTTTCCTCCCAAAGTAGGTATGTACTATTTTGGGGCTGCTGTCTTTAACAAAGCTGCTACAACCCAGTACCTACTGAATAAACATGTGTTAAGTCCGTTGAAATAAATAGGCTTAAGAATGAATAGCTGTGTAGAAGCTAAACCTACACCACTGCTACTTCTACAGACACTGCATTCCATATCTGGAATGTTGAAACAGAAAGATAAAGTACAGAAGATGTAGGGAACCTTCTTTGGTCATGCTTTGCTGATCCTTGTCACTGCTTTTAATTTCTGTTAATAGTGGTGCCCTACCCATGTCTTTTCCATTCTAATCTGATGGAGGGTTTTATTTGTACTGACTGTTACTGTGTGTGGTGAACTAGTTAACATCTTTGTTCCTGGCCATGCAGTCTTAAATTTGGTAACACACCTTTGCTTCTACATCAATAGAGTATTCAATAGTCAAACACTGAACTGCTTCAAAAGGTTTTATCCTCCTCAATAATGAGAAATGGGGTATCCTGGGAATAGCAGAAAGAGCAGAGCCACACTGTGGTGTCTCTGTTGCCACCTTCCAATGCCATGCTTTGGAAGGGAAAGGACTGAAACAGGGATACAGTTGTACTCCTGTAGGCTTGCCTTATGATTTAGAAAGCTGATTGTATCTTTCCCTCCATCTTCCAGAGCCTGGCAGGGCTTGGGTGACAAGAATGGGAACAGCAAGCATGGTTTTTTCTCCTTATCCCCATCGTGTGCAGACCTGAATGGGATGAGTGTTACAATGCCAGTTGTCCTCCATATGTCCTTTAAGCTGCCCAGAATGAAAAGTGGTTGTTCTCTTACTTGAGATCTATAGTTATTCCCCATTCATTCATTGATTAATTCTCTGTTTCACCTCTTTTTGGGGGGCAACAGTGGAGATTCTTATAATCTTTTTGACCATAACTGCAATACATTCAGCAATGAAGTGGCCCAGTTCCTGACAGGAAGAAAAATCCCTTCCTACATCACTGACCTTCCATCTGAAGTTCTTGCAACGTAAGTAGAGTCGTTTGTTTCTCTCCTATATAGCATACAACACTCCATGAGCCATTATTGCTGTGCCTGCCCAATTTAACTAAGGTGGCTATTCAGGAATTCTGAGGAAAAGGCACTGATTTCAGTAGCTTAGAATAATAACATATGCTCCTGACTAGCCTACAGGCAAAGGACTCTAAGATCAAGACTAAAATAGCTGCTTTTATTTTGAAGAGGAAGCAAATGCAAGGCCCTCTTCCCAAATTCATATCAGAGACTTTACCTGTCCTACTGAAAATCCTACTCAAATTTTGTTTGCCTCAGGAATAATGCTAGTAAGCAGATAGTACCTTGAGGTGCTAACATGAGCCAGGAAAAATAATTTTTCACAAGAGACCAACACAAAGCTTCAGTTTGGATCAGATTGCAGGTATTGCAGATGTTTCAGGAGCTGTTTCCTAAAACAGCCTATAGCAGTCAGAGGCTGGCAGTGTACAGTTCTTTGTCAGCAGTAGCTTAGGCAGAGGGATGTAGCATTTGACATCCACTGCGGGCGACACTGGAGATAAGGGTATGACTTACTGGGCTGCCCAATCTTGACTAGAGCAGTGGCATAGGCTGCAAGTGGAATGCATGGCAGGGTTCTTGAAGAATGGTAGCTGCTGGGTTCCACGGCCTCCCATTGGCTGGCTGCTGCAATCTGAAATTATGCCTCAGGGCAGGAGGACCAGAATGATGGACTTTTCAGTCCAATCCGCTTCAAAATGGGAGCTGAGAGACTCCCCAGCCAGCTCACACCTTGCCCTCCCTCTCTCTCTATTTATGATTGGTTATGGTGGCAGGACATTAAGGCTTTGGGGGTTGGTGTGACAAGTGTATAGCAGTTGGAATGGGTTATCATGTTCCTTTTATTGCATTCTGGTGCAATCATGTTGGTGGTTGGGGCATTGGGATGGATCCAGGCAGGAACCTGTCACCTCTGGGTATGGAGGGATCACCTTAAGAGGAGCTGGGGAGTGATTGTTGCTAGCCTAGCTTATGGGCCAAAGGCCTAGCTCTGTACCAAGGTAGCAAGGAGGAATGGGGTGGTATACACCTGTGTGGTCTCCAAAGGATTATTTTTCTTGGTGGTGACCCTCAGTAAACTGCTGATGGGTGGTGGTAGCATCAGGAGTCATTCAGGTCTCTTGATGCACTGGATCCATTCTCAATGCTGGGCCAGGTAAACTGCTGCTGTAACCAATAAAGTTGTGTCCTTTCCTCGAAGAGTGGGCTGGAAATAGTTATTGTTATTGTATGTGTTTTACATGGCCTGGGCCTGCACAGCTGTAGGCCAAAAACTTTTTGCTGCAGGTAATTATCAAAAGAGCAATCCGTCTGTGGTGTGTGCTCTAGCATTCACATCATGGCAAGGAGTCCAAAGGCACATCTCTTGCATAGTGTTCTACAGCTGTTTGGGATGCCATTATGCACTGAGCAAATGCAGGCCAAATCAAAGATACGTATTGTTACAGTGCTATGGAGCCAAGACCTATAGAGAGATGTCCAGCAAAAGAACAGGTGGCTTGCTTCCATGTTGCAGTACTTTCAGTTCTTATATTCAGAGAGAGGGAGGCCTGTGCTGGCCTCCTTTATTCTCCACCTGCTTTGCAGATGGCCAAGGTGCTGGCATGGGCTCTGCTCACCACATAGGTAGCTTGAGCAGACCGAATGTTCTGAAGGAGCACATCCAGGGACTTTACTGCCCCCTACCCAAATTACTGTGTGTGCATACCCTTAAGAATTGTGCTTAATTCTTCTGTAGAATCAGCAGTGTTCTAAATTTTAATTGTTTTCACTTTGTGTACAGATTGCTTGGAAAACATAAATTCACTCTTCATCCCTCCCTCCCTTTTCTTTCATCTTTGCTTCTTCAGACCCTTTGGACAAGCTCTGAGGCCTCTACTCGACTCCATCCAGATCCAGCCACCAGGAGGAAATAATTTCAGCAGACACAATGGACAGAGTTAGCAGGCCTGGTGAAGAATGCCTCTGTTCACTCGGGCATTTCCTTTTTCAACTCAAGTTTACCAGATTCTTATCCTTTAATTTCATGCCAGCATCCACAACAAGATGGCATTTCAGACTTCCTAGGGAAAGTATTTACTGGATTGCACGCTACCAGAAGAGGGGGGAAATACCTTGTTATAAATTCAAATAATGTATTTACTTACTAAATTTGTTTTGTATTAGTTCATTTCAGATATTTTAAAATAACCCTTTGCTGAAAAAATGGAAATTGGAAAGCCTTTTACACAAGTTAGAGTAATACAGAGGGCATTGTGGATACTCATTTTAGCCACTTCTTTCTGAATTTGCTTCTCTCTGTTATCCCCTTTACAGTGTATTTCTGGCAAATCTCATCCCAAAGGCATGAGTCTTGCAACACTGAAGTTCTAAATACTAACTCAATATTAAACTTGAATATTATTTTTAGGAGGAAAAAAACTACGTGTTTTTACTGTAAAATAATGTTGAGACTTAAATAGCATTCAGTTTCTCTGGGGCAATAATCTTTATGAAAAGCTATGAAATTGATGTCTAATTCTAGATAAGGAACAGAAAAAGGACCACCAGCTGTCTTGCAATATCTAAACCAGTCCAGAGACAAGAGTATGGACTCTCCAGGGTTGGATGGAATAACCTCTACAAATTATTTATGGCCATTAAGTGAGGAACACTTTAAAATGACTTAGAATAGAGCTCTCACCCTTAGCAATCTCCTAATGTTATTTAAAAAGCATCTGCATCAGTGTGTCCTTTATCCAACATAAATTTGAGATGGAGAATATGCCATTAATAGTGTGACAATAGCCATTCCAAGTATATGCCCCAAATTAATAGACTGGTCATGTCTTTTTGTTAATAAAAATTAGTACAATATCTGAATTTTATCCATCTACCCACTCATGCCACACAATATAGCTCCAGTTTGAATAAGGGGCACAGCTGTGTTCATCTAAAGACATTTTTGAATCATGCTCAAAATCACATGCAATCCAATGTCACATCTTTCTGCAAAAAGTATCTTCCTCAGAACATTTGTGGTATTTATTCAAGGACAGGAATAAAAGGATAATATGCTACTCATGTCATGTGGTGGCGCTGTGAGTTAAACCACAGAAGCCTCTGTGTTGCAAGGTCAGAAGACCAAGCAGTCGTAAGATCGAATCCACGTGACAGAGTGAGCTCCCATTGCTTGTCCCAGCTCCCGCCAACCTAGCAGTTCGAAAGAAAGCATGTAAAAATGTGAGTAGATAAATAGATACCTCCTAATGGCGTTCCGTGTCTAGTCGTGCTGGCCACATGACCATGGAAACTGTCTTTGGACAAATGCTGACTCTATGGCTTGGAAACGGGGATGAACACCACGCCCTAGAGTCGGACACAACTGGACTAAATGTCAAGGGGAACCTTTACCTTTATGCTACTGCAGCATTACAACCTTTGTTCTAGTGACCATGTTTCATGGGGCACTAGCTGCTACATCCTTTGAGAATTTTCTGCAGAAAAAAACAGCTGTACTACTGTATCCCACATTAATTCAAATAATCTGAACATTTTATGGCACCTAAGATCTGTGCCCCTTTTCTAGGATAGCTGACTGACATTTTTCGCTGTGCTCTTAAGAGATATGTAGTAAAAAATTACTGTTTCCTATTTGTATTTGGCAAAAAGAAAGAGAAATTGGTTAATGATCAGAAATAAAATCAAGTGTTAATCTGTAACATGGGGCACTGTATAATGTGTGAAACTAAAGCATAACTCAAGAAGGGTATATGGACTGGAATCTGGATATAAAGTACCGTACTTTGTTCCTTTAGATTAAACCATCAGAAAAGGATGCAGCTAGTACACAACCCCACTCTCCATTGCTAGCAGTCCTTTTGCCTGACGTTCTTCTAGTGTGGAATAAAACTGATGTTTCCATTTCTTTGCGCAGGAAAAGAAAGGGCAAAGAGGAGGAAAAATGTGGTAGGAAATGCAGTTGGCTGTATTCTTTCCTGTTCCTTTGAATACGATATACTGTACTGTATTGATGGCAATTTGGCAACTGTAGATTTTTCCAATGCAACGCCAAATTTGTTTGCAATGGTTATGTAATATCCAAGGTAAGAGTGGATCTGGTCTTTAATGTGTCTTTCATTATGCCATATTCTGCATACAGAAACACACTTGCTTTGTCTGCTTCACTGCAATTCAGGTAGGAGAGAATAACGGCAGGTATAAATGTCTTTACAGAATCATCTATGTTTGCAGAAGCACTGAGTGACTTGACTTGCGAGCATTTTCCTTTCATTCCTAAAGCCACACCCTGATGATCCGTATTTATTTTTCTGGTTAGCTATTCTGAAATTAAAGCAACTTGCTTTCTAGTAAATATGTTTCCGCTTGTGACCTTGGAAAGGCCAATTATTCCTTTTTACTTTTGTGTACCATCTAACACACTGGTTCTTAACCTTGGGTTACTCAGGAGTTTTGGACTGCAACTCCCAGAAGCCTTCACCACCAGCTGTCCTGACTGGGGTTTCTGGGAGTTGCAGTTCAAAAGCATCCAAGTAACAAAGGTTAAGAACCACTGATCTAACACATTCATATTGCAGAAAACAATACAGGTGTGGGGAGAAAACTTACAGACTCCAAAATATGGGTTGCAAAGCAAAAGTAGCACCTTTATTCAGTGTATCTATGCTGTCACTCCTCGGGGAAAAAAATGAGCTACATAGCCTATGTGTACGATTTGAGATACTCACACTTTAAAACTGGAAATTTTTGAGACACATCTGAACATAATTTTCCAGTAAGACAATTCCGTTTTGCTTTTACTCATATGACTATTCCATACAAGAAATTACTCTTACAAATGGGTAGCTCTAAATTCAAGCCTCCAAATGGGTTTGTAGATCTCTAAAATGGAAGGTGAGCTCTTCACAAGGCGAAGGACAAGCTGGCATCCTACACTTTGTTATAACATCCAGCCAGGATTAAGATTTAATCCTTATTGCTGCAGTGGCAACAAGACACCATATTCCATTACACCTGAGGGCAGCATCTGGGCAGCTTACTGCTGAGCTATCTGGAGCAACAGACAACGTTAGAGGTCGGCAAGATATCCCTCCAGATATTGTTGGACTTTAACTCCCACCAGCCCTAACCAGCAGAGAGTGCTGGTGGGAGTAGCTGCCCAGATAAAGAGTTACAATTAGTATACGAATATCCTTGCACAGGTGGCAATAATGAAAGTCTAGCCCCATGAGGCCAGATGGTCCATTCACCGATTTGCCGCTGCAGCGGACACTGCAATTCTTCCAGTGGCTCCGCAGATCACGATCAGCTAGCCACTCCTGGCAAGAGGACATGCCTTGCTGCAAGGTCGAACAGTGGCTTGCAGATCCCCATCTGCAGAGCCATTGGAAGAATCATGGCGGTGGCGGCGGATCGGTGAGTGGACCCTCGTTATTGTCACCTGTGCAGGAATATTCGTATACCAATACCCCCATCTCTAGTTAGAATGCTAATGCCATAAGAACTGCCATTATTCAGCCAAAACTTTATAAAGTGGTTAAGAATAAAGCATGCTAGAAAACACAGGCATAAAGAAAGAGAAATTTTTTAACTGTTGTTTTGCACTTGGTATGTGATTGGAAGTTTTATGGCTTGCAAGAGTTTGTGGGTTTTTTTATCTGTAACGATTGTTCCTTCGTTCTGAGAATACACCACTGTGAAATTACTCAGGAGTTTTGGACTGCAACTCCCAGAAGCCTTCACCACCAGCTGTCCTGACTGGGGTTTCTGGGAGTTGCAGTTCAAAAGCATCCAAGTAACAAAGGTTAAGAACCACTGATCTAACACATTCCTTCTTGTCTGATTTTCTGCATGCCTTTCTCCAGCTGACTGACGAGCTGGAGAAATGGAGAAAGTCCTGGAACTTACTTGACACACTTATTTGCACTTTTCTTCCCGCAGCTGTGGGAAAGTGCAGTGTGATCCTATCCATGTTTACTCGGAAGTAAGTTCCACAGATTTATGTAGGCCTTACTTCCAAACAAATATGTATAGGAACGTGGCCGTGAACATCTTCAGTGAGACTGAAGGGAGAACATGCCTCTGGCATTATAGAAACTGGTTTGTCGTCCTGCTTCTACCAAGCCTTTTACTGTTCCTGTAATAGATAGATATGGGCTCTATTTTCATTTTTGTGCAATAACAGTTAGAGCCTGTACCTTGAGTGGAATCCTAGGAGAGGCTGCATTTTGAGGCAAGATCTCCATGCAAGCACATGAAGCACCTGATTACATGTTGTATTCCTTACCTGCTGAGTGTAGGTATTTCATAGTCAAGGGGCCTGTTTTAAAGTGGTTAGAAAAATAGCCATGTACTGTATATGCCTGGCATTCCACTCAGTCCCATGTATTTATAAGTATATAAAAATATGAGACATGTATATGTATGTAAACTGATGCACTTCCAACCTGAAGTGACTGACAAAAGGCAGGGGAACTTGAGCAGCCCTTTCAGGAGAGAAAGGGCTTAGCCCAAGTGATGAGTCTGTCACTTTGGGGAATTCCCTTTTCCCCATTTTATAATTAAAATAAAATATTTGCCAGAAACTTGTTGGATTTGTTTTTGTTTCTTATTTACCTTGAAAGGCTGTAATCTAGACTGTTTTTGAGTTGATATTATCAACACGATAGAAGCCTGCTTGGTGTACTAAATCAAGCACTTTCTTCTGGCCCCTTTCAGGTCTACAGTATCTATAATCTACACAACTGCTGTACAAAAAGTGCTACATTAAATTTACCTCACAATGATAAGTCAGTCATGATAATCGGGATTAGTGGGATTAGTTTCAGACTGTGCTTTTCTGAAACTGTGTTTTTTCCAGACAAGGCTTCTAATGTGCAAGGACTATGCCTCTTTAAGTCATAAAGTCCAGATGATAGTCATCCAATTGTAAACTTCCCATGTTTTTATACTACTGTTTCTTTAATATTATATCTTATATTGTAATATCCATTTAGAAAGGGAAGAACAGAACGGTCTCTCTCCAGGTATGGATAAGAAAACGGGTAACAGACACCTAAGAGGAGTTGTCCCTGCAGAAGTAAGATGCTTGTTGCAAGGAGGGTTGTCGTCATTGTTTCCACTGAATTTCCACTTGCAGAACATAACAACGTAAGAAGAGCTCTACTGGATCAGGCCCCAAGGGTCCATTTAGTCCAGTTTCCTGTCTCTCACAGTGGCCCCACCAGGTGCCTCAGGGAACACACGACACAACTAGATACCTGTCCCCTGATACCACTCCCCTGCATCTGGCATTTGGAGGTACCTTCCTTTTAAGCCTGGAGATTCTACATCCCCATCACACCTGTGATGGACTTTTCCTCCAGGAATCTGTCCAATCCCCTTTTAAAGGTATCTAGGCCAGATGCCATCACCACATCCTATGGCACAGAGTTCCACAGGCTAACAACACACTGGGTAAAGAAATTATTTTGTCTATGCTCACTCTCCCAACACTCAATTAAGAGTGGATGTCCCCTGGTTCTGGTATTGCATGAGAAGGAACAGAGCTTCCCTCTGTTCACTTTATCCACTCCCTGCATAATTTTATACATCTCAATCATGTCCCCCCTCAGGCACCTTTTCTCTAGACTAAAGAGCCCCAAATTATTTCATACCTCACCTAGCAGTCTTCCATAAACGTTTCTGCCTTCTTTCCCATGCTTTTCCTTTTGCTTTTTTGCCTCCTTGTTAATAATTTCCAAAGTAAATGAGAAATGCAAATGAAAGCATTTTGTGTCATTTTATAGCAGCTTTTGCCTTCTGGCTCCTATTGGCAGCTCTCAACTAAGCCTTAATTAATTGTTTTCTGAATCTTTCCTCTTCACTGCAAGGCAGGTGTAGTTCCAATTATCCCCTCCCATCAATTACCTGTTGAATAATTTTGAAACAAAACTATTGCGGCATGTTTAAAGCCCTTAAGGCTTATTCCACTGTGTGCACTCACAGATTACAGTCTGCTTTTTCAGACACATGGCATACAATATTAAGCTATGGATTTCTGGAGGCAAGGATCAAATGAAGACGGATATAGGTAATTAGTTTTCAAAGTGTTGATTACATAAACACCCTGAAAGCAGGTAGAGTGATAAATTAATTTAGAT